TTTGCCTCTATCACGCGGCGTTGCTGGAGGAGGAAGCCGAAGCCGACGTCCAGGAGCAGGAGCATCCCATGGTGCTCGCCGCCCTTGCCGGCCTGCTCGCGAGCAGTGAAAAGCCGCGGCAAGGTGGCTCGGCGCCTGGGCGGGTGAAAGAAAAGAACCGGCATCGTCGGGAAGGCTACTACATGCTCTACTCGGACTACTTCGCCGACGCTCCATTGCACGGTGAGAAAACATTTCGGCGCCGTTATCGGATGAGCCGAAAGCTTTTCCTCAGGATTGTGAATTCCATCCGGGAGTTTGACAGCTACTTCAAGTGCAAGATGGATTGCACCGGCACACTTGGATTCATCTCAATCCAGAAGTGCACGACAACTATGAGGATGCTTGCATACGGAGCTCTCGGTGATTCACTCGATGACTATGGACGCATGCCCGAGTCCACCACCATTGAGTGTTTCTACAAGTTCTGCAGGGCAGTGGTGGCAGTATTTGGACCACAATACTTGAGAACACCCAATGCGGAAGACACTGCTCGGACCCTAGCACAGAATGCAGCAAGAGGATTTCCTGGGATGCTTGGAAACATCGACTGCATGCATTGGAAACAGAAGAACTGTCCATTTGCTTGGCAGGGGTTGTACAAAGGCGCCAAAGGCGGTTGTAGTGTGGTACTTTAGGCAGTGGCCACACAGGACCTCTGGATTTGGCACTCTTTCTTTGGGATGCCTGGAACTCACAATGACATCAACGTCCTGCAGTGCTCCCCTGTCTTTGCCAAGCTTGTTGAAGGTCATTCTCATCCGGTGAACTTCGAGGTCAATGGGCGGCACTACAACAAGTAGGGATGGACATAAAAACCGAGAACCGGGACCGAAGCTGAAAAGACCGAGGACCGAACCATCGGTTGTTCGCTCGGTTCACAAATCTTAGAAACCGATATTACATCGGTGAATTCGGTCGTTGGAGTCTATGGACCGAATGCCCCGAACTAACCGTTATATTTTTATTACTGTATTATTAACACCAACGTACTAGGCCCAATAGCCCATCTACCTTAACACGAAGCGCTTCTCCCATCGTTTTTCTTAGCCACAAACACACGCAACCCTCGCATCTTATCCATTGCCGCACCCACATCTTCACGCAGCGCTGCCGCCTAAGTTTCCACACCTCACGAAATACCAGTGTCCAGTGGCCGGCGGCGCCCATGACTCTCTCGCGGCAGGCGACGGCCGATGACGTTCCGCGCTCCCACGCGGTCGTTGGCTCGTGACCACCAGTTCATGGCCGGCTGCCCACTTCCGATGATGCATCACCTGTCGTATATGCTCCGGATGTTTGGATTGATTTCTGTTTGTCCGTCCATGCTTTCTTGGCTAGATTTGGCTTCCAATTTCTTTCTTCCTAGTCAATATCGGATCTGTTCGGTAGTAACCGAGGACCGAACCGAATTGACTGCGGACCGAAGCCTCGGTCATGGATTTCTTTGACGACCGATCGGTCAGGAAAAGCAGAAAACCGAATTTCAAAATAAATCGAGGCACCGAACCGATTTTTTCGGTCTAACCGAATGCCCAGGCCTAACAACAAGGGGTACTATCTAGCTGATGGCATATATCCGAGATGGTCTACATTTGTGAAGACCATCTCAAACCCTGTGCCAGGAGGCAAGAACGCCTCTTTGCGAAGGTTCAGGAGGCTTGTAGGAAGGATGTCGAGCGGGCATTTGGTGTGCTCCAATCTCGATTTGCTGTTGTCTGGTTCCCTGCTCAGACCTGGTCGAAAGATCAAATGTGGGAGATCATGACTTGCTGTGTCATCTTGCACAACATGATTATTGAGAGCGAGTAGGAAGAGCCAGTGTTTGACACTGAACCATATTACATGCAGGGTCTTCTTGCCCAAGTTGATCACCAGCTACCGGCAACCTAGACTGACTACCTCAATATGCGTCAGGAAATCTGAGACCCACAGGTATCAAGAACCGCAACATGATCTGGTGGAGCACCTATGGAGGCTCAAGGGCGAGGCCGGGGCGACGCGGGGATGACAAGTGATGAAACTTGAGTTTTTATTTGTTAAACTATATAATTTGTATTGAACTATTTGTTAAACTATTTGATTTATGTGATGAAACATGCTGAAACACGCTGAACTAATTGATTTCTATTTGTATGCGAAAATTCACGCCAAAACACGCCAAACCGCGCCGAATATGGGCCGATTCACGCAGATATCAGGTCGTTTTTGGACACAATTGGGCCGAAATCGGCACCTGGGGGTGACGGCTGGGTGCCCAACCGCCCCCAGCGCCGAGTATACCGTCGGCTCACCCCCAGGCCGCTCTTTTTTGGCGCCCTGGGGGGCCGAACGGCTGGAGATGCGCTAAGAAAGGAGGCATCCATGGGTGAGTCTGGGCAGAGAGGTCGAAGCCGTGGCCAGGGCTAGGGGCACCGCGATGGCAGTTCGAACCGGTTGCGGCTACAAGCGCGAGGGACGAGGCGCCCACGCTGAGGGACTTTGACATGTCCATGGATGCCCTTTGGGTTCGAGACACGACCATCCTCATCTCCATCTTCATCCTAATGGCCATCTTCGAGCACCTCGTCATGCCCCAGGCATTTCAGGCTCCATCCGACTCGCCGCACGACTAACGTTGGCGTAGCCGCCGCTCCCCCGGCAAACACGGGAACCCGCCCATGGGCGTGGGATGCACGCAGACAATGCCCTTACCGCGGATCTGGCTGGATGGCGGCCTTTGCGGAGTTCGATGGTGCCTAAAGGTTGCACACGTCGGCGGCGGCTCCGTGGGCGGCAAGTCGTTGCCACCCATTGCTCCGGATATGCACAATGGCGGCTACTCGGGTTGTTGGCGCAGCATGGGGCATGTGTCAGGCTCTCTGCTGGGAGGCGGACCGCGAAGGTGAGATGGTGGACTTCCGCGCAGGCGGTGACCAACCGACAGCGCTACGGTCCAGTACTTGGTGATGGTGATTCAGATCTGGTCGTTTGAGTGGGGGTGGCCGCAGTCTATGCTGCACTGATCTCGTGTGGCTCCACGATGGCTACGGTCAACGGTAGATCTTGGAGAGTCTTCATCTATGAAGATCCAGTGGTTGACTTCAGTGGTGAGATGGAAAATAAAGGACGACGACTTGACGTAGATGGGTGGCTGTAAAGCAGGGATGTTAGAAGTGCATGTAGCTGTTGGGGTCGCGAAAAAGTGACTGCGACAATACTAGAGTGACTTCGATGGTGATGCTACTCGAGCATCCAATCATGAGCTCCAAGGTGAAAGCCTAGGTTTGACCCGAGATGGTTATATCCGACAATGGCGATATTTTAATGTCGTTACCTTATTGAAGGATTTGCTCGAATATGCTCAGATTAATTCTTCAGGGCTAAAACCTAGATTCTGGCCTTGGTGGTTGGATTTGATGATGACGACGCTTGGGTGTAGCTCCCTTTATAAAGACATTGCTAGTGAAGAACCTCGTTGTCTGTGTGGTGTCATGAGATGGTTGGGGCAAATATGATCATTCTTGTAGTTTGCTGATTGCGGATCCGAGCATTTTGAATTTTTCTTTTTTTCCACGCCTATGCATAGTTTTGGTCTTATCTGACTTTGCTTTGTGTAGGCATTTTTTGTGTGTGTGTTGGTGTTGACTATGTGCATCCTAGGTATGCAGATGTCGGGTGTCTGTTTTTTGGGTTCGCATCCTCTTAATGTCCCTTTTAGAGCCAATAAAATTCACCATGTATCGAAAAGAATGTGGATGTAAGCAATATGGACGAGAAGGCAAAACAGTATTGGGAGTATACTGATGAGGACACCTTGGCTAAATTTGATGGCGGCGACAATGGTGATGGTGGTGGCGGCAGCATGAGTGCATGAGGCCATTGTGAACTACGACGACTTTTGATCCACCGTGCGTTTGATTTTTTTGTTCTAAGTTCAATTGTTTGTTAGTTTGGATGAACTTTATTTATCCTTCTAGTTGAATTATGATGTGGTGCATTTGAATTATTTATGTTTGTTTTGATATGTCTTAAATTAATTTCACTTGTTTGAGCAAGCGTTTGGATGAATCGGCAAAAAGAAATATGGCATTAATCGAGATAGTGGAGAACGTGGTTTTAGTTTAGGTGTGTAAGATAGTGGATACGTTTTGAAATTAGGATAAGACTGCAGAGGATAAGCGATAGCGTGAGCCTCTGAGATATTTGATCATGCACATAATGCATAGGCTGTTAAGACACTAGCATTAAGACGAGGGCTCCAAATGATCCCTGAGATTGGATGCTCAAGAGTCAAAGTTGAATCTGACTGTTTGGAATTGATGAAGGCTTGCAATGATAATATGGATATTCGAGGACCTAACTCAGCCTTACTTGCATACTGCTTTACTTGGCTCATGGTGTACATCTATATCGTTCAGTTTTTGTTTCAGGGAAGTGAATGGGCTGGCACATTTCTTGGCTAGGATTCTAAATGTAGCTAAGTTTGGGTGGATGTTACTCGTGAATTCTTATTACCTCTTGTACTTCATGATGTAACTCTGCCATGCTATAAATAAAAGTGCCCGTAGGCTTTCTTTTTGAAAAAGCGGATAAGACTGCTAGAGTTGTGAACGCTTGTATGAGAAAAGCCCGAAAGGTAAAAGAATGTACATGGAGAAATTCAGCTACGAAAAATAAATAGAGGCAGGATCGGGTCGGCCTGGTGTATGATACCACGGAACAGGCCGAACGGTTAGGCCCACCTTGAAAACAGGCCCAACCCCTTGAAACAGGTCGAACGGTTAGGCCCACACTGTCCGGCGTGCCGCGTGTGGCGAGCCCTAGAAGGATCGGCAACTTCTTGTGTCCACCCGACCCACAGCCTCGCGTTCCCCCCACATCTCGTCGCTCGTCCTTTCCCCCAATCCGCTCGCCTCGCCTCTCCTCTCATCAACCGCCGCTCCGCCCCCCGCGCCGCCTCCTGCTCCGGCTCCGGCGAGATGTCTCGCTTCGGGCGCTCCGGCCCGCCGCCGATCCGCGACACCTACTCCCTCCTCGTCCTCAACATCACCTTCCGTAAGTTTCCTCTCCGCATCTCCACCGCGCTCTTCCCTTCTCCCCGAGGTACGCCTCCATTAGGCGGCCGCCCTAATCCTCCCCGTGCGTGTCTGGCAGGTACCACCGCCGATGACCTTTTCCCGCTCTTCGACAAGTACGGCGAGGTCGTCGACATCTACATCCCTAGGGACCGCAGGTAGGGTTCGTTCGTATGCTGGTTCGGCAGTTAATCTGTGTTCGTGTGTAGATTGGGTGTGTGTCCTGTAGGGCTGCGAAGTGTGCACACGGAAATTTTAGGGCTGTGGGAGTTGATTCATGTTGTTTGTACATCTGCACACGGCAATTTTAGGGTTTTGGGAGTTGATTCATGTTGTTCGCACATCTATTTTCTGCAGGACTGGCGACTCGCGAGGGTTTGCCTTCGTGAGGTACAAGTATGAGGACGAGGCGCAGAAGGCAGTTGATCGCCTGGATGGTGGGTTCCTCTCCTCCATGTGAATTTGGGATTTCTGTGATACATGTTTTAGGATTGGATTCAACTTCATTTTGTTGGTTATCTTCCAGGGAGGTTGGTGGATGGGAGGGAGATGATGGTGCAGTTTGCCAAGTACGGCCCAAATGCTGAGCGGATGTAAGATACAACGTGTTCCTTGACTGCTGGCATGATTATTGAGGAAATCTTGATATTGACACTTACTCCCTCGGTTCACAAATATAAGATGTTATGGATATTTCAATATGGACATACGAATTGAAATGAGTGAACAAACACACTAATACGTGTCTATATGCATCCGATCCAGAAAAAAGTTAGAAAGTCTTATATTTGTGAACGGAACTATTTTTTAGCCAATGTGGTGTCTTGATATTTAGACATGGATCGGTCATTTGCAAGATGTAAACTTCTTGGTTGGATGTGTTGGGCACTACATACTCTATGTCTGGTGCAACGGTAGATTACTCGGTACTAGAGGGGCAAGGAATCGACGGTTTTGAAGATTTTGCTACATTTGGATGCCATGAACTATCTTTGATTATAAACCATCATCCCAAAGTGTTAGGTTACATCAGTATGGTGCAATATTAGGTTACTCAATACTAGAGCAATTATGGTGTTGTCTTAATTACAAAATTTGCTGATCTCAACATTTCAGCTCTTATCATGTACCAGGTTACAACTTGTGTGAATATGTGATACTCTGTTTAGGAATCAACAAGAAGTGGGCATGCGCTAACCATAATACTACCTGATAAAGTTTATGCTTTTAGGAGAGTTATTTCTCATACATTGTTTTCTCTATAGTGAGAAAAGTAAGCTATGCATATTTTGTCAGCATATACACTATGTAGTCAGAATTGATTATTCCAAGAAGTTCATGAAAATTGCTCTATGTAGAAGAATGAACTAGCACCTATCATAAAACTGTTCTGTTTGTTAGTTGAAGCCGATGACCTAATATTCTTTTGCCTGAACTTTGCAGTCAGAAAGGGAGAATCATGGAAACTGTCCCGAAGCCAAGGGGTCGTTCCAGAAGCCGCAGTCCAAGACGGGGGTACTTTTTTCCTATATATTTCTTCGTTGTCGTTCACATTATAGTATATCGTATATTTCTTCGTTGTCGTTTTCACATTATAGTATATTGTAGATTTCATTTACCATGCACATATGTAGGCGGCTTATCTGGTTTGGGATTCAATTGAAGCACATTATAAAGAAAGAGAAATAGGGCTATAGTTCAGTAGTTGTGTAAGTAATGGAGGTTCCAGTAAGTTCTTCAACATCAAACTATGGACATGCCATGGTTGTTGGCTTTGCTGACTGCTACCATACCATGTCTATTGGTCACTTTGATGGACGGAGACATGTTCCTAACGATAAGATTATCCATCAAAGTGGGATTCTATTGGGATTTCCTCCATTCTTGTTGCTCTTTTTATTTCACGATGTCAAAAAATCGTGTGCATACCTCATCTGCAGGTACCGGGATGATCATCGGGGCAGAGATTCTAGAAGGCGAAGTCGGAGTCGGAGTGGAGATAGATATGGACGTGACAGGTACAGAGAGAGGGATCATCATCGTCGTAGCAGGAGTCGTAGCGCTAGTCCTGATGATTACAAGAGGCGTGGCAGAGACAGGTATACACATCCAGATAATCATTGTTGTTTTATGCTGGGTTGTGCCATACATTCATTTTTAATTATTTGTTTCCTGGCTGCACATAGAAGTCCTAGTCGTAGCAGGAGCCGCAGCTACAGTCCTGATGATGACAGGAAGGGTGGCAGAGACAGGTATGCACATCTGGGAATCATCTCTTTTGTTCCGTCTTACTGAATTGAACTGATGCCCTTCATTGTTGCTTGCAGTTTGTCGCCTGCACGCAGAAGCACTAGTCGCTCCCCTCTCAAGACACCACCTCCTCGCAAGACACCACCTCCTCGCGAGGGGTCTCCTGCTAGGCGCAATGATGACCGGTCTCCTGTTGGGCGCAATGATGACCGGTCTCCAGGCTCTCGTAGCCCTTCAACATGAGCTGAATGTCAAACAACTGAGGTCTCTAAGCTGTTCAAATTATATATGTCATCACAGTTGATACCCTAGCACGCGATAACATGACTTGTGCTTCTGTCTACAGGATCCATGGAACAGAGCTGCTCATATCGAAGGCTGTTCAGTTGCTTTATCATGAACAATCTTCTGTTACAAATTTAAGATGTTGTGGTGCTTGACATCAGTGACTACAAGCTACAGATGCTGCTATGTGGATGTCTGGATACTTGTTAGAACTATATGTACTACTTCACCTTTCCATTCAATCTTGTCTATTAGCACTAAGTATTACTATTTCCTTTCCAGTGTTGGGCACTTACTATAAATGGTAATTTGCACCTTTCTAGTTACATGATGTGGTGAAGAGGTGCTGGTTGATAAAGGGTGAACACACAAGTTGCTTGCTGTTGCCGTTGATATTGTTTGTGCTGTACCCCTTAATGATGATGATGCTGGTGACGGAGATGATGATGGTGATGCTGGTGGGGGTTGATGACGCTGGTGATCATTTTGCTGCATGCACTCTTGTTATGCTGACAAGTAAGGTTCAAATGATCCAGCTGAGGTTCACTGCTTAAGCTGTTCATCAATAATAAAACTACTCCGGTTCATGTTTCTCCGTGCTAGGATTTGAAAAAATTGTTTTTTTTCGTCAAGTCTCCTCACATGATTTATGTTATATGCAACCCCCAGAACATATTTTTAACAAAAGGGTGGTTGTGTGTTCTTCCGTTGTTAGTTCTGGCCTAAATAAATTCTGAGATGATGATACAGTCTTGAAAAATAAGTGAACTCAGAAGTTAGCACAATACCTTATTATACCATTTCGAAAGCTATTATGTACATACATAGCAATGCAAATACTCTTAATGTGCTGACCTAGTTAATTTTTACTCCCTCCGTTCCAAAATAGATGACCCAACTTTATACTAGCTTTAGTACAAAATTGGGTCATCTATTTTGGAACGGAGGGAGTAGTATCTTAGGATTATGTATGGTTTATAGAGATCATCATGTTTGGCAGTTGATGCTCCAAGTTTACAGTCACTGTAAGCGTGTGGTAGCTTCTTGGCTTGTAACCAGTTTGTGGGACTTCTTTTCTTCATATTATGACTCCTGTATACATCTTTTCTGAAAAAACTGTACAACTCTTAACACCTTGCGCAATAGAAGGTGTGTGGTAGGTGTTTTCAATTGCAGACTGAATTATGTCAGGGTGTGTGGTAGGTGTTTTCAATTGCAGACTGAATTATGTCAGCTCCAAGGCCTGCTGCCCTGTAGACGTGCTCATGCGAATGCTGACGTACGATCATGTGGCGATGGCGGCCCTATGAAAAGAACCTTCGCTCCATGATTTATGTATTTCATAATACATAAAAGTGTAATGTATGATAACTTTGTATTTATCATTTCGTACACAATTGAAAATTCCGGGAAAGAACTTGCGCTGATTTTGTTTGATTGTACTATGGGCTACTTTGCTCATTGGCGAGTGTTTGTTGCTTGTTTGTATACTTAACCTGTGTCTAATTCGAAATATTTATCTGCCATATTTCGGGTCTGCGCGTTCAGTGTACAGGGCCACCCGGCAACATCGTATACTTGCTGTCACGGTGAACAACAGGCAGCGATGACTGCACACAACAGTTCACAGAATTCTAGACTGCATGTGGACATGTCCGAATGTGTTCATGAACATTTGTCAGTTGTCCTAAAAGTGTCAACCGACATCCCTGATAGTCTGAAAAGCAAAAGATGCCTAGAGGAACCCCCTATTTTCGCTCCTATAAAACATGCTGGCTGAGTGGGGTGATGGATTTGTTCAGGGGAGCAGAGGCTCCCATAATTCGACAAAATGTGCATAATGTAGTACTATTAGGGCTTCTCCAGCATGGTTACCAAATAGACATCTCCAAATGTCCGTGGACAGCCAGCCGTACGGAGGCCATCCAACCGTGTCCCTCAAAGACCCGCATACACTAGATTTTTATTAAATTTTGGAGTACTTTTTGAACAGCGGAAGTCCTTAAAAAAGAAAAAAGGAAACTAATTACTCTTTTGTCAGAGGTGAGGTCGACGACCATTGCGCTAGAGTCCAGCCTCATCGTCATTGGGGGCCGGCGTGGTTTGCATCGTCGTCGTGCTGCTTCGATGCCTCCTCATCCTCGGCCGCTAGATAGTCCGCATTTTGTTGACGCAGAGCTACCTCACGGTGGACCGTATGTGCGCTTTGTATGGAGGCGAGAAAAGCCCGGTTCACGTCGATAATGCCTAGGGCCGCCTCAACCATGGTCGCGACGGCACATCAACAACCATTCCCTACATGCAGGCTGTTCTGGCTTTGTGACCTCCACCATAGTCATGGGGTTGCCACTCCCACTCCTCCCACTGAAGGTGCCCACATCAAATGTGGGCCTAGCACCAGGTGTGATCTAGGGGTGGTCGGATGGCATCTCCGAACGATTGGAGAAAGGACTCAAAGCTAGGGTTTTTAAGTACATAACAGGGGCTAGGCACGGAGCGGCGAAGGCATGAGTGCAAGCAGCCAGAGTAGGCTTCTCAGGCGGCGCATAGGGATGAATGCAGGTAGGGAATCCTGACAGCAACGACCATCAATCCTTTGTTCAGAATAATAATAATTTTAGGAGCTTTTGGCATAGGCTTCGGTGCATAATAACAGCAACCTGAGCACTTGTCATGCATAAAACTAAACTAGCACGGCTTGCAATGTCTCGTCGAAGTAGAAATGTGCGATGAACTAGTTCAGCTTAAAATGCCTCCAGGTTGTACAGAAGCGTTCAACGAATCGCTCCAGGATGCATAACACTGGTGGCAGTTTAATCAGCAGACATTACAGGTGCAACTATATGTAAAAGTACGGCTCCAGGATCACGACTGCATCAACTTCGAGCCTGCTCAGGGGCGCTTCGGAGGGAAATACTGCACGTTGTTGTCTTGGCACATCCCCTGGAACGACCAGAAGAAAAATTATTAGGTCAAGACATCATAGAGTTGCGTTAATAATTTTTCTGATACTCCTTGGGAATACTGCAAGAATGAAGGCATGCAGTTTTTACCTGATACTCCTCGGGAAGTTCCTCTGAGACAGCCAGAGTATAGCACCCTGGAATGAACCTCCCTGCAGATTGAGAAACAAACATAAGCAGATGGTTTCAGTTAACCGTTACAACGCAACACTTTGTTTAGCATAGGTTTAAGTCGTGCAGTTATGACACAAAAGCAGACATGGTCCTCCGGCAAAGTCCATTTCAACGGGCTGCCAGAGTAATGGCTAGCACCACCATGGACCATTGGCATTAATTTCTCTGTTCTGCTTGACTAAAAGCTTTCACATGATTTGGAAGGACATAATACTGGCGCGGTGGTAATAACTGGCTGAAGTTCTTAGTAGGGGACTTCTTTTAACAAGGAGACTGCCTAGATTCGTGATGATAGTAACATCATACATATACTCGACAAAAAAGAAATATCTTCCTTGATATTGTTTCACGATGCAGAATTCAGATTATGGCCATCCCACTCAACTATTAGGATTCTTGTTGACAAATCCTACGGGCTAGAGCCATAGGCTCGATCGTTCCCACTACTTCTTGAATGGTTAGGTCTGAATCCTGTAGTGGAGCTTTCCAAAAAAACTTTCCGAACAAATTCACAGTTCTATTAACTCAAGCGACTCTTTACTGTTGCTCCAATTTTTTTTACTTTTGCTTCAAGTTAAGATTTCTATTTATTATATTTTTATTATATTGATGGTTCATCACATTGCCTTCTATGATGCAATTCATAGACAATACATATTGGAACCCTATATCTTACTTTTTTTTATCATCCCTCCCTTTATCCACATCCCTTTAGTTTCTTCACAACCTAGAATCTCATTACTTTCTAGAGAATTCTAACGAATTTCATATAAAAAATCAAGACCATAATTTGATTCAAATTTGCACTGATGCAATCGTCAGCCAGTTCCTTTCATTTACATTTTGTTGGCATGATTTTCACATTGTGAAACAATGTCAAGGAAGTAATTTTCTAGAGTTCTATCTTTTTACTATAAACATACAAAAAATTGTTGAAGTATCGGATGACAGTATCAACATGCATTACTTAAATAAAGAAGGCTTCAGAACGCAAACAATGAAAAAGATATGCACTTGGGTTAACAAGCATACAATTGGAAAGTTTTAAATAAAGATTCCAATGTCAAATCTAAAATGTTACAAATACAAGCTTAACACAACAATTATTGTCCTATGAGATAATCCACTGATAATTTCCTTGCTATAACAAGGACTGAAGAACCCAGTCCTGGAATTAAACAAGCTAGGAGTGGATCTTGGCAAATATTTCAGTTCAGTTTTCTGATCCTTCACAAGTGGTAACCACATACAGGTCAAATAGATATATTTTATAAAGAAAGAATGCCAACACACTCAGGTGGATCCTTAATAACAAATTTAAGTACTACTAGCAACCATAATATTATTACAGAAGGGGAGTAAGAAGACAAGGAACTATAAACAGTATAAGGTATATGCAGTACTCATCTGGACACCCCACCTAGTAGTGATTATAGACCTAAACGATTAGTATATGGTAGCTAGGAGAGCTTTCCAGTAAATGGTCTAACCTGTTCCTTTTTAATACTCTATAAAAATGCATATCATAAGTTCATAACTAGGCTCGAAATGTAAATGTGCAATAGCATAAAGTAAAGCAAACTGGATAGAGAAAGTAACCTGAAGACAAAAATAAGCAAATGCTGTGTGATAACTATTTAACTACACACTCACCAATTCTCAACCAACGAGCAGCCCAACTCCTATTGGGATCCATCAGCGATATTATTCTGCAAGCCAAAATTTGTTCAATAAATTCAGAAAGAGGAAGCACTGGGCTGCATAAATAATATATATTTAAGGGCATATGATCTTTCTGCGATCAGAAGCAGCACATTCTTA